GTAGAGAGCATGATTTGTTGACAAGTAGAGAGCATGATTTGTTGACAAGTAGAGAGCATGATTTGTTGACAAGTAGAGAGCATGATTTGTTGACAAGTAGAGAGCATGATGTGTTGACAAGTAGAGAGCATGATTTCAATAGAAGGCTGGAAGAACACGACGAGTAATGTCTGATCGCCTTATATTGTAGCGCGTTGACTCGTTCGGCTTCATGAATAATCGCACTGGAATCATTGTGCTTAATTTTGTATCAAATAAAAAAAAGTATAGAGAGGCACGGCGATTTTTATCTCAAACGAGCATTGAGGCAGTGGTCATCTCCTCTTTAAAGCCCTGAGCCAGTGGTGGAAAGTCCACATTCCTCTGGCGGGAGTGAGTCCACCTATGACACAATTAAATTATGGCAATGAGTGATCTGTATTTGCTGTGCCATGTTCGGCGTGAGTTGCTGCACAGACGAAAAAAACACACGGGAGAGTTTGGAAATGCAACTGTGATAATCTACACAGTCGGAATATGTTTACAATAATAGCTGCGTCGTCCTTTCCGCGTCTTACTTTGTTTTACGTAACTAGTTATTCCAACTAAATGTGTGACTCAAATATCAATAATTTAGCTACCTACGAAAAATTATGCACCAATTATGCACTAACAGGGCCTTTGAAGTCTATACAGATAAGTGAAACAGCAAAGCGCCAATACCAGCAATGTCTCGAATTATCACTGCTTATATCAAGCTGTGTTGAAGGGCAAAGATAGCTATACAACAGGGAATCGGTTTAACTTCAAGGAGGGGGGGGGGGGGGCAAACAGCCTTCGGGCTTAGTCAATGTTGATGAGCAAATGTATAGTTCATGTCGAAAGTAGATGAACATCAAGGCCTCGTGGTGTACAGGGCAGTCTCCAACCATGAGCCACTCTGCATCTCTGCCCTATCTCTTTGCCCTCTCTACAGTGAGGCCTCGCTTAACGCGTTTTTCAACAAAACGCGTCTTCGCTATAGCGCGCGTCTTCTACTGGGGAATACCTTTCGCACAACGCGGAACTCGCACCGTTGCAACGTGGAACGCGCACCGTTACAACGCCGTTTCTGAGCGGTGGGTGATGAAACGAATTTCTTTAGCTGCGTGGTTGAGCGGTTATGGGAATTTTGGGTGTATGCGTGGAATGATACAGCACATGGGGTACCTTCATCTGAGTGCTTTGTCCCACCGTCTTACTGTGCGCGTGTTACACCGTATCTTGCAACTCCCAACTTTTACATTATTCCTCATGGGGGAAAGCTTTTAGCTTAACGTGTTTTTTTTTTCGTAACGCGGCGCGTTTCAGAAACGCATCTACCGCATTAAACGAGGAAGTACCGTATATCTCCGCGATGAAGAGGGTCCATGATCACGGGCTATTCTATATTTGCTTATATATATTTTAAAATTCTCTTTTATTATAATATATTTTATTATTATTATTATTTCAGGGCAGTGTCATTGACTCTAGAACAAGGTGTAGACTTAATAACACACACATACATTTTGTACAAATGCACATTACACTGCTCTCCTGGCTGACCGAGAAGCCAAAAGGAGGTATTGATTCATATTATTGGTTCTTTCGGTAAAGTCACGTAGAAGGAAACAATAAAATAATAAAAATATAAAACAATAAAATTCTCACGACGTTTCGACTGCAACACAAGCAATCATCATCAGGTGTGAAAGCCACAGCAAAAAAAAATGAAAAAAGTGGCGTTTTTTAAATTATGTTATTGTTTCCTTCTACGTGACTTTACCGAAAGAACCAAGAATATGAATCCCTGTAGTCACGAAAGCTTTAAATCAAAATTTTAGGTATTGGTTATTCGTGCTATTAGTTTCCGAGCCCTCTTGATACCGAGCCCATGTCTGTATTTTTTCGCTGTAATGGAATATGCATGGCAGGGCACTCCCCACTCTTTCCCTTCACCTTGTCCAAACATGTAAGCTAATTTTTATTTTATTTTACCAGATATGGCCCAGTGAGCTGTATAGCTCTTTGTCAAAAGCGAGCTCGGCCAAAAATGATAGCCCCAACGAAGTGGTTTATCGTGAGGAAATGCACAGCAGCAGCCAAGGACTCTAAACGCGTGATGTTGATTCTAAAATGTGGAGGGGAAAATCGGAGGACCCGGAGGAAATGCCACGTGACCACTGGGAGAGAGACACCGCAAACTACAAATATACATCAAGCGTCATGGTCGGGATCAAACCCACGACCTCCTGTATACCACGCGAGGTTGTTAACATCTCCTAGCCACCGTGATGATGATGAGAGAGAGACACGCAAACTCCAAATATACAGCAGGCGTCATGGTCGGGATCAAACCCACACGCCTCCTGTATACCAGGCGAGGTAGTTAACATATCCTAGCCACCGTGATGATGATGAGAGAGAGAGAAAGACTCGCAAGCTTCAAATATATATCAGGCGTCATGGTCGGGATCAAACCCACGACCTCCTGTATACCAGGCGAGGTAGTTAACATCTCCTAGCCACCGTGATGATGATGAGAGAGAGACACACGCAAACTCCAAATATACATCAGGCGTCATGGTCAGGATGAAACCCACGCGCCTCCTGTATACCAGGCGAGGTAGTTAACATATCCTAGCCACCGTGATGATGATGAGAGAGGGATAGAACCCACGACCTCCTGTATACCAGGCGAGGTAGTTAACATCTCCTAGCCACCGTGGCAGCCCCTGTGCAGCTGGAATGTGCGCAATGCCTCACTCTTAGCGACGTGCAGCTGAGGCAGTGCTCACTGAGCTGTTAATTATCTACATTCAATGTTTTGGTTGATTTCCAGCACAGGTCACTCGCTCCCTCTCAGAAAACAAACTGCCATTTTGGAAAGGCTGAATTGTTGTTGTTGTTCATGATTTTTGGTGTAAGTGCTGATCATCATCGTCGTCGTTGTACAACTTCGGGCTCTCAATGTGTAAAGACAAGCCACAGTGCGACTGTGGCCATGCAAACCAAACTATGGACCACAGAGTAGAGCCACAGTAGTCTGCGCTCCTTCAATGAAGAAATAGATAAACTACGTAAACTCCACTCTTCTGAAGCCCGCTCGTCGTCGCTAGCAGACCACGACATTGGCAATTAGCTCCCAAACATATTGCCGTACGCAAGAATAGAATAGATGAATGATGAACAAACAAACATCTTTCAATTCATCGATAGTAGCACGAGTATTATTATTATTACAGAGCATCATGAGTGCAATTGTCAAGTATGAACAAAAAAAGAATCACATGATGTCATGCAATAGTCGAAAAATATTATTTGGTGATCCGTTGGCAGTGGCGCACAAGCACAAATAACAAAACTCCCAACAACAACATGTGTCAATAACACTACAAAACTCCCAACAACAACATGTGTCAATAACACTACAAAACTCCCAACAACAACAACACGTGTCAATAACACTACAAAACTCCCAAGAACAACACGTGTCAATAACACTACAAAACTCCCAACAACAACATGTGTCAATAACACTACAAAACTCCCAACAATAACATGTGTCAATAACACTATTTACTCCCAACAACAACACGTGTCAATAACACTACAAAACACCCAACAACAACAACGTGTCAATAACACTACAAAACTCCCAACAACAACACGTGTCAATAACACTACATAACTCCCAACAACAACAACGTGTCAATAACACTACAAAACTCCCAACAACACGTGTCAATAACACTACAAAACTCCCAACAACAACGTGTCAATAACACTACAAAACTCCCAACAACAACAACAACATGTGTCAATAACACCGATGCCAGGCGACGTTTCGGCGAAATGGCCCTTCTTCATGAAAAAAAGTTTGGCAACCGAACACTGCAGTGCGTCGGCGCTAAGTAGCGAACAGGCGCACCGGCTCAGGGAGCGGAACGAGCGGGCGCTGGCAAGGCTAAGTGGCCCCCACGGGATCTGTCGCCCGAGAATATTCCCTCGCCGCGACGTCTCTCGCCAGCGATGCGCAAAACGTGGCGGCGAAACGTCCATCGGGCCGCCCCGAGTTTCTGCCCCGGCGCTTCCTCTCGAGCCGCCGGAGAGCGGCCCCCTGGGCTCGTTGTGGGGCCAGTACAACTCTCCGGAGGAGGACGAGGTGAGCGTGGGGTCGCCGGTTAAGGGCAGGCGAGCGCGTGCTCGCCCGAGCGGGTCAGTGGCCCGAGTTGTTCGTACCGGCAGGGCCGGCGGAGACGGAACCGCGGGGCGGGGGGGGCAAAACGAGTTAGGGACATGAGAGGTCCGAACCCCGAGTCAACAAACGGATCAAATCTGCTTGGGCAACACAAGGTGTTGTGTGCAACAGAACAACAACAACAACAACAAAAAATTAGGGGCCACCCGTATAACAGATTTACAACACAAGGCAGCCACCACCACCATCAGCAGCAGCAGCAGCACCTGCATCATAGGTGGCTGAGCCAAAAGCACGACGTGGAGGGTGGAAACATTGCCACCCTCCCATCTCCGCGCAATGCGGTGTCACGCCTGCCGTGGTGTCGTGGATATCCCACTGGATGCAGTGGTCCCCGCCGGGTTTGACCACCGCGGCACGGCACGGCAGTTCGGACGACGCCTCGGGTTGCTTAAATTCGCCTCTGTCTCCACCCCCAAGCGGTAAACATCGGCAGGGCCTGAGCGGTGGGGTGAAGCGTGGGTACTCAAACCTCTTCGCAAGACGTCTGACCAGCGTGGATGAGTGGGGACTAAGCGTGCCGTCTGGAGGGGATCTCTCTAGAGCCCACTACCCCCCGCCACCTCCCCCCCACCACCTTGTGCCAAGCAGTGTCGTGAGCAAGCGGTTTCAAGGCTGCACCTTTACCCTCCGACACGGTGATTGCCCGATCGTGAACTCGGACGGGGCGGTTATTCTTTCCGACCTCTCAAGACACACGAGCTCACCGCCCCGCCCCCCCCCCCCCCCCCTCGCTCACCTTGCGAAGCGTCCTGGGCTCTGATGGGTCATCGTCTTCGCGACGGCTTCCGCTCAACAACAAGATTCTTGCCATCTCCTGCATTCTGCATTCAAATGGGGGGTAGGGCGGCGGGGGGGGGGAGCGGCAGGACAAATTGTTTCACGTGGAATTACACAGCCAAAATATATAAATAAAACCACCACGGTTCTAATTTCCACACTGTAATATTTGACCACTCTGACAGCTTGGCACGAGGCTGTGTGTGTGTGTGTTTGTTTTTTAACTCCTCAAATTAAACATTATTTTGACTGTTGGAGGGCACGAGGCTGACGAAGCTGGAGCTGTTACATTTTTTATCACGTTTCACGATTTGCATTTCAGAAAAATGTTCGGCAGCGCGTTGGACGTGCGTAACCCCAGGCCTGAGCCGTTCGGTGACACAATGGGCTCACATGAAATGTTAACGCTTCCTAAATTACAATGGATATCCAATTACAATGGATATCCATTGTAATTTATATGCATTAATTACCCCCCCCCCCCATTTCGCACGTGAAGGGCTCACAAGCGACGTCATCACATCTATCCCTGTATTTAATGAACGAAACAGGAGACTTTCTCCACAAATCTGGCTGTGTGCGCCTGATGATGCTACTTGTAATTACTGGCGAAACGCTGTGGATTTGCTCTCCAACACACCGGTGTGCTGTACTAGTGACGAATTGACACGTTCTGTTTACGTGACAAACCTTATTCATTGGCTGTGTCGGGTGTGGTGGTGGTGGGATTAACGACACATTTATATATACGCGATCTAACCCCCCCCCAAAAAAACCCCTCTATATTCTGGATTGTTAATGCTTCCTGTGCGCGAGTGAGTCCGACACACACGTGGTACCGACCCCCTAGCGTTAATTAGGAAACAGACAAAACTTAATTATTGTGCCGAGCAAACTCTGGATCTTTTTTGAAAAAAAAAGTGAAAGTCAAGATAATCCTTTGTAGAAATGATTGGATACTTAATAATGGTTAGAGGTAATTAACGTCAGACGAATGACAGTTAACAAACTATCGCTCGTTGCAATTTTAATGGCTTAAGATGTGGTGGGGTTTTTGTTTTTCCTCTCCCTCTCGCTCTCTCTCTTCTGTGGTCCACATGACCTTCTTGTCCTCACATCAGTCAAAGTACGATGTCGATTTAAATTTTTGAGTTAAAGCTTTCGTGACTGCAAGGATTCATATTCTTGGTTCTTTCGGTAAAGTCACCACGTAGAAGGAAACAATAAAATAATTTTAAAAAACGCCACTTTTTTCAAATTTTCTTGTGTTGCGGTCGAAACGTCGTGATTGATTTATTTTAATATAATTTTACGGTATTTCTACATACGTGACTTTACCGAAAAAAATGAGTAATTTATGTAGTCACGAAAGCTTTAATTATTTTGGTAAAATCACGTAGAAGGGAAACAATAAAATAATAAAAATATAAAACAATAAAATTCTCACGACGTTTCGACTGCAACACAAGCAATCATCATCAGTTTTCTTGCTCTGGTTTTCACACCTGATGATGATTGCTTGTGTTGCAGTCGAAACGTCGTGAGAATTGTATTGTTTTATATTTGTATTGTTTTATTGTTTCCCTTCTACGTGACTTTACCGAAAAAACCAAGAATATAGAACGATGTGGCTTAAGGGGTTGCCACCTCTGAGATTGGGAGGAAAAAAAATAACTGCGTCGTATCGTGGCCAACATTATATCGCACACTAACAGAAGAGGGGAGAACTACCTGGACGCATGCATTGCCCTTGAGTGGTGCGTTGTTCTTATTACGCAACTGATAAAAAAAAATTACTTTTAATATCCCGAGAAAGCGAGGTGGGGAGGGACAACTTATTTTTCAGCGTGTAATTACTTCCCTACATACGCCACTTTGATTTGTTGCCGATAAGTTACCCTCTTGGCCTACGCACTGCTCATTTGCAAGGCGGCCAGCCCGGTTTTTTGCAATTTCATGGGAAAAATCTGAACAACAACGCCCGAAATGCTTTATTTTCACGGGCAAAACGACGGTTGCCACGGACCGCATTCCCCAATTCCTCCACCCATGTGGAGAACTCGGTCCACCAAACAACCCCGTCATCGTCTCGTCCACCCTTGTGCTCAGCCAACACACTGAAGGTCACAACAACACACTCAATCCCATCCGCCTACTCACCCACCCACCCACTCATCCATACACTCACTCACTCACTCAAAGACAAAAAAATCCCCCGTATAGCCTGTAAAATGTTTTTTGGGGCAAGTGTTGTTTGCGAGCACCTAGGAAGGCCAGCACGGCACACGAGGGGATGGGTGGCCAGCACCACGCCTAGCCGCCTTTGTCTCCCCAGTGGCGATGTTTTTTTACACACAGAACTGCTCCACATAATTATGGGAATCAAACTTGGGTGAGCGGGAATCAAACTTGGGTTCCTGGGCTTCCTGCGCAGCGTGCTAACTGCTGCACTCCTGCTCACCAAAACTTACTCAAACACCCGCAAATTGCACGCCACGCTGCCGGTTACAACACTTCTCTCTACGATTCTTCCCTCGCACTGCTCTGCCTTAGAACTCCCCTCTCATCGTGTCCGTACCAAAGTTGTTTCAACCTCGCTCAACTCAAGAGACATCGTTGACTCTGTTATGCCTTCAATAGTGCTGTTTGTTGCTGGACACTCGGAATTTGGGGCCTTTTACTCCTGTGCTCAGCAACCGTGATTTGAACAACAACAACAAAAATAACAAGGAGCAGATGAAACAGCAGCCGGCTTAAAGCATCGCCTGAAATGACTGGAATCCGTTTGATGTGTTTCTGTGCGGTGCATTATCGTTGGCAGACCGGAGGTGCAACGTGACCCACAAACCTTGAAGCATCCCAAGGTAGCGCTCGCTCCTCATTGCAGGGGTACTAACCTTCAATGCGGACGCATTTCCACCCACTCTCTTGCGGTAGCACTTTCAAAGGGACCGTGCAAAGTTGAACGATAAAATAAATTGATCGTTTAATGCTGACATCTTTGGGAAGTAAAACCCCACACCTATGCATGGAGAGTGCAGTGGTCGATGCACTAGGCTAGGAATCTCGTAAAGCTGAGCTCGATTCCCCTTCAAAGCCAGCGGTAGCGAGTGATATCTGAACAACCCCTTAGACCCTTGACGAGCTCACACTGACCAGCATGGTGAAGTATGGTCAAACAAGCCTCCTCACCACCACTTAGGGTGGAGGCCCATCGTCCAGCAGTGAATTGGCGCCGGGCTGTGAAAATGCGTCCACAAAGAAAGGACGATCCCCAGCTTTAAAGTGTCGACCATTTGGGGACTCCTTTCAATCGCCACCAACCATGTTCAATCCACTGCTGGATGAAGGCGTCCCTAAGCCGCCGCAGCCACCTCTCACGATCCTGCGGTGTAACGATCGGCCCAGCATCTGCAGGACGAATTGATTTTGTTGTTCCATCTCCCACGGTGAACATCCTCTGGGACACGTTCCATGCAAATGTTTTTGTTAAATTAAAATATCAAATGTGGCTTTGCTGGTATTGACTAATGTGCCTTTCATAAGCATTCTTCTTCTTCTTAAAATTACACTTCTGAAAAGGCATGCTCTTTAATGCAATTGTACAACCACGAATAAGAAAATACAAATTTGAGAAATCAAATTGGATGATGTGCCAGTCTACCCTTTGCCGTGCGGAAATTCAAATGTAACAAATGGAAATGTGCAACGTGAATTTGGCACGCTTAATTTTTTTGATCAAACTTAAAATGTAATTAAGTATAAACAAAAGCATCGGGATGAAAATTAACAACTAGAGTGTACCTTTAACGTACCCCAGAAAAAAATAATTATAATCGTAATTCAATTAACAGACAACAAGACGTAGATTTTCATATCTTTTTTTTTATAAAATTTCTGATATAATAAATTTCTAAGCTGATTAAAATAAATCCTAATTAACGTCAATTCCGCTTGCCTGATTCTGCTCATATTCTTATTGTTTTATATAATAAAAATATAAAACAATCAAATCTTATTGTTTTATATTTTTATTGTCTCCCTTCTACGTGACTTTACCGAAAGAACCAATACAATTTTGATTTAAAGCTTTCGTGACTGCAGTAATTCATATTCTTAGTTTTTTCGGTAAAGTCACGTTGAAGGGAAACAACAAAATAATAAAATATACAATTTTATTGTTTTATATTTTTATTATTTTATTGTTTCCCTTCTACGTGACTTTACCGAAAGAACCAAGAATATGAATCCCTGTAGTCACGAAAGCTTTAAATCAAAATTTGATTCTGCTCATGTATATATATAAAAACACATTACTTACACTAACATTCTCCTTTGTGCACTCCTCTTGTTAATACGTAGCTATTACTTTATCGCACGTCATTACAAAGAATAGAACACTAAGGCTGAGTTACATTTCACTTAAGGTACTCCGTTAACCGAGATAATGATACGATAAAATATAAAGCAAGGGTGTGTGTGGAAAACACGATCTTAATTAAAACACCAATTTAAAAAACGGTGTAAAAAAATATAAAAACATTCAAACATTAATTTAATGAATCTAGCGCACCCGTTGACTCTTAATGGGGGTTGTTGTGGGGTTTTTTTCACTCCGTGGAATTTCTCTGGGTGCGCCGCAAGCAATCAACCAAATGAACGGCCGCTCTCATTTCACGATGTGGTCTCGCCACTTAGGCTCGCGACGCCCGTAAGTGCTCGGCCTGCCGGAGGAGCACAAAACGCTCTCGGAGTGCGAGCAAAGCAAAAAAATATTTTTTAAAAAATTACCGCCCCCCGTGCACGACAAATTATCCAGCCCCGTCAGCCTCACTTACTAAATTATCTTTGCATCCTCTTCCCTCACAGGGCTTACTTGTTTTTGGCAGGGCCGACGCTTTGGCCTCAACCCACCCAAGTTCACTCTCTGCCTTCGCGGTATATCATCGTTACGGTGCCCCCCACTCCCCCCCCACAAAGGCATCTACTGCACCGCCCCCCCCCCAGCCCCCCTGCCTCCATGAGATGCAGCTAGCCCTGCTTG